ATCCATTATATTAGACAGAATTTATTATGGTGTGATCTAAACTTTGATCCATTATATCAAGATTTTATTTAGTCTTTCAGTAGTTCTGTACGTAGTTATTAATGTGGCAATCGTTATTCATAAATTTGATTGGTTGGAAGTGACCTTGATCGTGTAACCTGAACGGCGCTACGCTCCGGATAAAAAAGATGCGTTTAATTTCATATACAAATGTGCCGCTCAAAATAAATTAACAAAAAATATGAGTTCATCAAATAAACTGGATATTATTGATTATAAAAAATCCGAAGTTGAAAATTCTGACGAAATATTTCAATTTGGAAATGACGAAATTGAAATTGAAAAGAATGAATATGTTGAAAGAATGAATAATCTTGGATACCGTTATCAATATGGGATAGGGGTTGAAAAGGACGAATATAGGGCATTAATTTATTTCCAAAAATCTGCCGAGATAGGAGATGCATATGGAATGTTTCAAGTTGGTCAATGTTATCATTTAAACATTGGTGTTCGAAAAAATAATAATAAAGCATTTATTCATTATCTGAAATCAGCTGAGGCGGGCGATTCAAAAGGAATCTTTAAAGTTGCAATTTGCTACAAATTCGGAATCGGTGTGGAAGTGAATTATGACAAGTTTGTTTATTGGCTAAATAAGTAATTTTTTTTTGATTTAGTCATAATATTTATCAATTGGGTTGAAATCAGAAATTGAATACCCCTAACCATTTTATTTATCAGGGAGTTAGTATAAAACACTTATTAATCGTTGTATTTAAAATCAAGTTTTATATTTATCTCAAATCATTTCATTTGTGATAATTTAGTGGGTGAGTATAGAGAACACTTATTAGTTACTGTATTTAAAGTCATCAATTAAAATTCTTAAATATTTATCTCAATCATTTCATTCATTATAATTTAGACAGTAAATAATTTTTCGTGTAATGAACGTTATTAATCGTTATATTTATGTTCTAAATGTTTACCTCAAAATTATTTCATCCGCGATAATCTAGTCGGTGAGTAAGAAAGTTCATTAATCGCTGTATTTTAATTCTATAATCATAAATCAGGGTTCTTGGTATGCCTTGTGGCGCACCATCCGTCTAAATCCGTGCTGGGATGCCACTTGCATTCATTTGCAAAAATTAGACATCTTTTTGTGTGGTTTTCTTAATATAATCAAATGCCATACCAAACTATTGGGATACGTGTTATTTCACCGACAATCAATTCACCGACAAGTTCATTTCACCGACAATTAACTTACCGACAAGTTCATTTCACTGACAATTAACTTACCGACAAGTTCATTTCACCGACAATTATTTCACTGACAGCTCATTTCACCGACAAGTATTTTTATAAATTATACTAACCTTAACTCTAATTCTAACCTGAAACTAACAACAATGACCAGAATTACTTTGTCGGTGAAATAATTGTTGGCGAAATGAACTTTTCGGTAAGTTGATTGTCTGTGAAATGAACTTGTCCGTGAATTACAGCTGTTTTCATAAATTCTGGGACACCTTAAAATTTTCTCGTTCCCAGGTTTCGTCCTATGAATCATCTAACTCTTCGGAAAATACATCGCTATCTCCGGAATGAAGTTCCGAAGACAATGACGTGATTCCGAAGAGTTAGGTGACCTTTAGGACGAAACCGAAGAGATTTCGTGAAACGAGAAAATTTTTAGGTGTCACAGAATTTATGAAAACAGCTGTAATTGTCGGTGAACTAAGCTGTCGGTGAAGTGATTGTCGACGAAATGCGCACCACCCAAACTATTGGTGTGCCACTATGGCTAACTGTATCAGAGACCCTATTATCAATAAGTTTTTAAATATTTACCTCAAATAATATCATCCGTGATAATTTAGTCTGTGAGTATAAAGAGTTTTGATTAATTGCCTTTTTAAAAAACTACTCATGTGTCTGAATTATTTTGTTTATGATTTATTTTTTTTTTTTT